TTTTATTTCTGTATAAAGAAAAGCTAATCTCAGTTGATATTTATTATTACCAAAAACTGCAGGAGTTAATGTCGTAATTTGGGCCTAGACATTCCTCTCTTTTCCTGTTTTATTGTGTTTGTAGTTTCCCAACAGTCTTTCATGGAAGCAGACGATTTCATTATTATCATTGTTATAATTATTATTATTATTATCATCATTATTATTATTGTTATTTATTATCATCCCAGTAATCAAGTTTTTTTTTTTCTCTGTGTCAAATAAACTTTTGTATTTATTATCAGTGTTTTGAATATTGAGGATTTTAGATACTCTGAGCTAGATACATGACTTGAGAGCATGAATAACACTTGAATGTAATAGTTTGGTGTATAATACAGATTTTTTTAACCTTTATTCTTTATTTTCATTTATGTTTTGTTTGAATATAAATAAGATTATCGACTCATGGAAAGTCTGGAAGTGGAAGGTCTGATTATGAACTGAAGAAAGAGAAATGTATTGGAAATAGCAAACAGTGTGAAAGGCAGTGTTAATGAGAGGGAAGTGAGAGGTTGTTGTTTTGTTGGTTTTGACTACAAAAATATTACAGGTAAATAGATGTGTGTTTTATATGACCTTTATTTTTATTTTTTTATTTTTTTTATTTTTTTTATTTTTTTTTTTTATTTATTTTTTTTTCTCTCTCTTTCTTTTTCTATGAATCTGTGACTGGAAGAAATGGAAAGCTTTGGTGGAGATGGTGTTAAGTACAGTACAAAGAGTTGATAAACAGAATTTAATAAAGATGACAAAAGACAGGTATTTAGCTTGATTTTTTTTTCCAAGGGATACAAAATACACAAGATAATTGGAATCTTCAGAGATTTCGAAAATGTAAGAGAAAAGAGACTCAAGTAGAAGGAAATAAAATACAAAGCTCTTATGAATTATTGAAGATTTTTTTTTTCCCCCTAACATGTTATGAGTAAATGAAGGAACACCAAGAAATAGCCTTACTAGAGCATTATATATGAAAGTACACCACCAACTTTTTGGCATCTGACAGTCCAGCTCTGTTAATAAAGGCAGAAGTATGAGTGACTACCATATTAGTTCATCGTGCAGGCATAGACAGCATTGAGTGTGGCACAGAGAGACAGTATGCTGGTGCATCTCCCATCGTTTTAACCCAATGAATTCCACATAACGGTATTTGCTATAGTTTGGGGTGACTACAATAGAGAGTTCAGAGGAGTTTAACAAAATTCCATGCATATGTATCTTGTCTCAAGTAATGTAAAATAATTTACTGTGAGGTTAGTTTCTTGTCACATGTTTTGAACCATGATGGAGGCCAGATTTCATAATTTTGCAGTTTTCAGTTTAGATGCATAATTAGTGGGTTAGTTGCTTTATCCTGTGTCAAAACCTGGACACCTGCAACATCAAAGAGAAATTTTTACTGATGCTAGGGAACATGTATATCATATTTTAAGTCTGGGTTCCATGGCTGGGACAATGCTTTGGGAGAACAGCTGTGGCCTTACCATAGTTCATTCAAAATGTTGTTCTTTGTGAATAGGCTTACTTGCAACCTCTGTCTGGCACAGTCTAAGACCCAAATTTGCCGGAAAATTGATGGTGCACCTGTGTGTTATTTTGTGTACATGTATAAAAAAAAACTTTGTTGACACCCTGAAGCAAGCTTAAAGAAAGCTCTCAGATAAAAGAATAAGAATGATAAATGGAAATTAATGGTAGGTCTGTTTTTATGTGTTTGGAACTAGGTAGACACATGTATGTATATATTCTCATTAACATCTATTGAATGTGCACTAAATTTTTCTAATTGTACACAGATGCCTCCATGTTAAAGTACAAATAGGGAAGTAGATAATTTATGATATTTGAGAAGTAAGAGGTATGAAAGAAGCAAAATACACAAACACATTGCTTTCTTTATTGTATATGTTTTTCTCTTCTTTTCGTTTAATTTTGATTTGTTTCTTTTCTTTTCTTTTCTTTTTCTTTTTCTTTTTTTATTAGTTAATTAATTCTGAAAATGTTAAACACAATACATATCAAACAAGTCAACTTTGCCTCTGTCTTATGGGAAGGAGAAAAAAAACTTTTTGAAAATTGTGGCATTCCTTGACTTCTCTGACAATAATATTTTTTAACTAAAATTATTGTTGGCTTTTTTCATACCTTTTTTTCTGATATGCTTTACCTGTTTCCTTTAAGTTTAAACATATTATTCTAAAATAGTCAGTGTAAATGTGGGATAAATTTTTATTTTTCACTATGTTCTTATTTTCTGAAGTATCTTTTAAGGAAGTCAGTGTGCATCATGAAAATAATCAGAGTTCATAACAGATCCATGAGTAAAAATTGATAATGTTTACCTTCCATAGATTCTTCACCATAAGGAGAGTACATATAACAGAAATGCTCCAATAGAACACAAATTTACACTTTTATTCTCAAAGAAACACAGCAGTTGCGTGTCAGTTCTCTCTTCATTCACAGGGGGATAATATCTGTTACTTTTGTTTTAAATATGGTAGGTTGATGAAGTACACATATAAAGACAGAGCAAGTGAAGTCATCAGAGACAATATTATTGTATTACCAGTCCGTTTAAGGCTAATTTTGTTAAATTAACCCATAATATTAGTCATCAGTATTGATATCAGCTTATTTTTAAAACACATAATTTTGAACTCCCAGTGTTTTATCATGCTCATTATTAGTATTTTTATTTACACACGGGAAAAATTATTATGATCCTGATATCAAAGGCTAGTAAGAGTTTTGAATTTGAGGAAATGGAATAATTCCTTGAAATCTTTCCAAAACTAAATTATTGTTTTGCAGCCACTGAATTTTTACCGGAATAATCCAGGTTATTTTGTCAAATCCTTTCAAAACAGAACGAGGAAAATCTAATTCTCAGTCCTCTCTGGAAATTGTAACTTGTCTTTAATGATATATTTAAATATATATAGTATGTGTATCGAAATGAACCCTTTCTCTTGTTTTCATGTGTTTTTTGTGATGCATAATATGAATGTGATTATGTAGAGTACTTATGTATATATTTGTAAGTATGAATCCTTCAGTCAAGATGTCAGATAATTCCATTGTGACGCCAAAATGTAACTTTGGTTGAAAGAAAGTTTTCCGAAAACAAATTCTGGCCATATTTGAAATTTCTTAATCCCTTTTATCTGTTTGTCACTCCCCATTCAAGCAAGAGTAATGCAGTGCTTCCTCGACTAATATAGAAGAAAGTTTTATATACTTGTTAAAAAATTATCCTTTCATTAGAAACAAAATTTTCTAAATTTAGCAATTGGTTAGTTAAAGTTTGTTGCAAATTCTATGCAAGCATAAATATAGTGCAGTGATTTTTATTGGAAAATAATTCAATCAGATTTTACCTTTGTAGTTTTTGTGGCCAAAAGATTCTTTACAATTAACAATAACAAAGTTAATTTTATATCTTAAGGCCTTCATAAATGAGGGAAAAATTAATTAATAACTTTGACTAATCTGCTTTGGTTTAAGTCCTCTCTCTCTCTCTCTCTCTCTCTCTCTTATTTCTTTACTATTATTACTTTTAAAGGTAAGAACCACACTGAGCAGACTCTCTTCATTGGTAAATTATATATCCATAAAATACAGAAGTATCGTATTTCTCTCTACATGTGTACTCTTTCCCTCCCACAAAATGTAATAATATGCAGTAATTCTAAAATGAAATAAAACGGAAAAAAATAAGGGACATGACCATTGGTCTAAGAAAACCAATATTCGAGAACCTTGCATGCTATTCATCAAGGTTCATTCTTTATGATGTCGACAAAAATTTAAATTGCTGTTAAATATGAAAGCTAAATTTTTGTGGTGTAGTTCGTCGGAATATTTTTTGAAAATCTTTGGAAGTTGGTCTTTGAAATGCATAATCCTGACTTGTATGAATTAATAAAATTTTATTAAAAAGACTGGTTTTATTAATCACCTTTGTGAATGCTTATGCTTCTTTCTTATTTTTATAACCAAAAGATGCTCATTCAAATTACATTTAGTTTTATCATATATAACTGTTGTAACAAGCCAATGTGCATCAGTTTTCTTAACCCAATGTCGCAGGGAAAAGGCTGTGCCCATTTTTTAATTTTTTTTATAAAATGTCTCTAGTGCTTAGCCACAAAGGAGTCAATTAGTAGACCTTGTGCCCTTACCTTATTTCACCTTTCCTTGAATTTGAAAAAAAAAAAAAAAAAAATTACTGATGTTATCAATATCGATGGCATTATTTTTATTATAGACATTATAATTATTATCATCTTATTGACAGCAATCTAAGATAACAATGTTTTTGAAAATGAAAGAAAAGGATAAACAGGTGAGACAGGTAATACTCATAACTAGCTTATTGTTGACTTTGTATGTACAAGTGGAGCCATCTACATGTAAAAACAATTAATAAAGTACTTTCAAAGTAGGCGTGGCATGTGCATTACATGCCATGCCTGTCAGTTTTGGGTTAAAAAACAGTACATTGGTCTAGGATAATAATACCATATTCTGTTTATAATTAAAGGACTTTTCTTTTTTGTACTTTCTGTTTGATCATACTTTTTGTTTGACTTCAAATATGATAAATAAGAGACTTCAGTATATATAAAAGCTAGAGGTAAGCAGTATGCAGAAAATATTCAATATGAATCTGAATTGTCTTTTCAGTATCAGTATTATGATCATACTTTTTTGGAGTGACCATCAAAACTCCATTCTTCATACAAGTTCAAAATAATAGTAACCACAATTAAGAAAAAAATAACCGATCCATCCTCTTGCAAAACTTTACTTACAACACTCCCTCTCAAGAAAAAAGGCAAAATATGAAGTGAGCACAAACAACTAGAAAATTCATTCGCAATCACAGTATAGACAACTTACGACGACCTCACTATCAAGGATAAGAGAGAAGGGGAAAAAAAACACACACATTTTTAATATTGAAAATAATTTAATGTCTACTCTATCCATGGTACATACCCCTGGATATTAGGGTTGCATATTTCTACTAGTGTTCTTACGGGTGAGTACAGTAAATCCAAAACGAGTGAAGTGCATCATGTCTCAAGAAATCTGCATAATTTGAATGCAATAAATTCAACAAAATATACTAATATGCATCTTATACAGTTCAACAACAAGTATAATATAATCGTTTAAAATAAAAAGGGTTTCTAACTCCTTAAATTAGAATATAGTTATTTGGAAAGGATCACAACATGTTATTACATAATAGGATTTTCTAAATGCTCATAATCATAGCAACAAATATTGGGTTGAAAAGAATTCCTACTCTAAACATCAAATATATATTAAAGAGTATTCCCAAATAAAGCAACAATACTCTCTCTTTGCATAATATAAAAAAGAAAAACAAAATCTCGATAGTCAACATACAGTATGCTCTCAGTAAAATACATTCTTAAACACCTACCACAGCCCACCACAGAGGAGATTTCCCCTTCTTTTCTCTTTTCATTTTCCTTTTGGCAAGCCAACAGTGATAATTACTAAAGATTGAAAAAAATTGAAAAAAAATCATAATTTATATATATAATGTATATATATTACATAAACATTCAATATGATGTCTAACAATGAAGACAACATACAAAGGGAGAGGGTCAACTGATTGACTAGATAAGCATAGAACTGCAGCTCAGGTTACCACTGGGAATCTCAACTGGTCAGACAGGCTGCCAAACATCAGTCTTCTGCTGACGGTGAAGCCTCACTGGCCGCAAAGTCCAGCCCAATAACCCGATGCAGCACTGTACTACGTTGCCGGACTTCACCTAATCTAGGGTCCGTAAACGGGTGTGTAAATAACAGCATGTGTTGCAGGTTAGGTTGTTACAACAATTGCTGCTCTTTCTTGAAACTTGTGCTCACAAGTCGAGCCATTTTCCCTATTTTAATCTCTTTTTAATTTTCATTCATCTTTTAAACTTTCAATTTTCTTTTTCATTTTTGTTTAACTTTCTTTCCACTCTTTAATTGTGCATTATCCATACATGCAAAAGATGCATCCACCTAATTCGTTAATGGTTTGCTTAACAACTATGTTTTGGAGGATTGAATTTGCTTCATGTACCCTCTATAAAAATATCTAAAAATATCTTTAGCTGACTTGAGAAATGGTGATCTTACCTAGACATTCATTGTAAAGCATTATCCCGAAGTTACAGATGAACATTAATAAATGGGCAAAGTTAACACACTAAAAAAAAAAGGTGATTCTCCAGTGTCAAATGTACAGTATTTCCATCTACAGTCCACACTAAACATATTACTCAACAGAGAACATTTCAGTAACAATAACCTTATATATTTTGTTTTGAGATACAAAAGAAAAGAAAAGAAAGTATAACACTGCTTCACACCACATAAAAATTAAGATCATAACCTTAATGTACAGTAAACCATAAATTGTATGCGGTAACGAAACATTATCTCAAATACATTTTGTCTAGTTTAGTTAATAAATACCCTATTCTACAATACTACAGAAACGATTGTTTTATCAAACAATTCTTAGTAAACAAGTGTTACACAGATTATGCCTCTATGGTATCAAAAAACATGATTTCTGTTTGGCTTAAATATTTTACTCTGGTAGCATAAAATGCATGGTCAAATGTAAATAACAGAAAAAAATTATAAATTAGACAACAATGCATGAAGTTCATTAAGAATTCATTAAACATAAATGAAAAAGCCCATTGTAGCTACAGTTTCATTCTCAGGTATATCATGTGATCATTTTGTATAATCAACCCCCGGACACTGGCTTGCTTTTGAGGAAGTTTTCGTATCCTACCAGCAAGTTTCAAGCTGAAAGCACAACAAGAGCACCGAGAGAGGTGTCGTGGGCTCCCTCGTGCACCTCAGTCGTGCTAATTGGAAGAGAGGTCGGGGGGGACGGGGGGATATTGGGCCTACCCAGGACAGCTGAGGGGCATGGAGGAAAGGCCCTTGGAAAAAAATGCTAATATAAAAATACACCAGCCAGCTGACATAGTACTAGCAGAAAGGAAACGACATCAGTGATTGCTTGGTGACGGTAAAACATTTTAGGGTCCAGTCCTGGGAGGGGGGGGAGAGTGCATGGAACCTGGTGTTTGGGGGTAAGTCAGTCATTAAATAAATGCAAATAAACCACATTCACTGCTTCTGATGACCTTCTGCGAGACACTGGATGGCTTGCTATAGCTGAAGCACGTAACAAGGAAATGGTATTGCATGCTAAATAGAATTAAGAAAGAGGAAAATAAAAAATATTCAGTTAACATTACCACAATCTCAGCATCAAAACTGAGGAGAGACAACAACACACAATCAATGCATTTTGACTATCCCTCCTCTATCAAAAAAGAAAGGACATTCCAAAAATTGCAAGTGCAGACCTGAAGTGCCCCAAAAAACATTACCTATCTTTAAAACTTATCGCTAAGATATTGATCTCACTGGAAAATGAGGACCAAAAATACCTTCAATATGATTTTGAGAAAGACCTATGGCTACATTTCAAATTCAAAATGGATACCATAGACCTAGAACCCATAAAATGCTATGTAATTCAGATTTTATTTCACAGTACATTTTATAGAAGTAGCTTGTGTGCCTATGACCTGTGCATTTGACCTTAAAAAAAAATCTCCATTATGTTTGCTAAACAAGCTTCCATCTATTATTAATGGGAGCCACCGCCCTTTTTTATGCTAAAAATCAAATCTCCTATCCCCGTTCCTCATATTATTGCTGAAAAGCACTTAGAAACCTGTATCTAACATTTTCTACTCCCACTCTCTCATTTGTACACAGTTTGTCTTCAAATAGGAAAAAAGTTCACAGGCTGTTTTCTTGAAACATTAATAGAACTTTGAGATCAATAGGCTCAAGTAATGGTCATACAACAATGACTTTAATACCAATTGGAAGTGCTAAAAAAAATATTCAGTCAGTCATATCCCACATTTCTTCTATTTTCCCCTCACCCCACCTGTTCAGTATATATCTTGCAAATAATAAAGAAAATCTTTGAATGCTTTCTCAAAATGTAAACTCAATACCTACCTGTCATGTAAGGATTGTTTCTAAAAATGATTATCAACCCACTCACAGTCTTTTTTGGTGCCATCAAAATTCTACGAGTATGGATACAAGAAACACTTTCTGTTCTTAAGAAGTGACACCAAGTTCACTCTAATTTGTACCCTAGCTCAGAAATCACTTACCCAACTCATCCCTCACAGTCCCCTAAACGTGTGCTAAACCTCGCTGAAATTGAACAAAACTCACAGCATATTCAAGTAGAAAGCGGTAGCTCCCCTAAACTCCAGTCCAAAATGTTCCCATCCATTACAGCAATACCATTCCTCATAGATTTGTTAACCCTGCAGCATTACAGACTACTGCTTCCACCAAAGATGCAATCAAAGTGCTGAGAATCAATGCAAACCAACGCCCTAATGCCAACATGGAAGTGACACTGAGGACAAAATACCTAACTGAGGGCTCAGAACTCTCAGTGCTTTCACACAACATAATGCAAGGACTCTTAATGCTGCCTAAAATAGGTAGGTGACTGAGATAAAATATACCTCACAAAGCATAAATCATAATTTCTATTTAAAAAGAACAAGAAAAAAAAAAAAATGCTCCCTTCTCTTTCAGAAGACTGACACTAGTACAATCCTTAATCATTTGAGTATATTTCCTAGGAAAGGCTTTTCTCTTTTATATATACAATAACTATATATGGATGTAACACTTTTTGTATCTCTTTTTGTCCCTTCATTTATATGACTAGCATCACTTCCTAATAAACTCTGGTATAACTAAATCTTCAATGATTACACAACCGATCTTGTGCGAACAAAAGTATTTTGTGAAGTCTATCAGCACTGAGGGGGCAAGTATTTAGAGACAAGCAGAATGAATCCTTTTCATTTCTTACATACATAAATAATATAAGTATATATATATATCTATATTTCAGCTTATAGATCTCATTCTAGGTTCAGTCTGATCTTGACAATTTACCTTGAAGTATATGAAGAAATAAAATTTTAAAATGTATCTTAACATGTATGAATCTCATTATCATATTCACCTAGCAATATCACAAATATCCCTTCCTCTCATATAATATTTTTCTCCCTTAATACACATCTGAAATAACAATACAATACATTTTAGATAAAACCTTAAAAATTATTGATCATCATAAAGATATAGATCAAATAAAACAATCATTTCGTTTCTCTCACAGATCTCAAAGGCAAATATAATAGAAACAGTTCACTTCAAACTCCAGTTCATGTTACAGCAAGAGAGAGTGTGTGCTAAGCCCCATATAACAAAGATTAACAAAACCAGTGTTTCAATCTTAGCAAATTACGGATTTCCTAAATGAAAATGAATATGTTAGAAAAAAAAAAAAGAAAAAAAAAAAAATTCAGAAGCTTGTCTTGAGTGATCACAAGACTATAAAATAAATTAATGAATTACAAATAAAAGGGCAAAACAGAGACAAACCTAAAACTCCCTAGACGTAACTCTGGTGATCTCTCTACACCGTAAAATGAGACTCCGATGTCCTTGCCTACAAAAAAAAAAAAAAAAAACTCCTCAGCACCTGGAGCACGGCCTAAGCACCGCCGCCAGTCACGTCCCATCCCCCACCTGAGAGGAGGCATTGGAGCTCATACCGGAATACTGCTGTAGAATACCAAGGAGAGCATGTTCCTAACACCCATGCCTCAAAAGTGAGTGTTTTCATGGTTTCAGTAGAATTTCGTTGTTTTAGACGCCGCGGATGCTTATTGCTAACTACTACAACCGGATGTGTAAGTGAGACACCTTTATCATGGGTCAAGACCAGGCAGTGTATCACTCTTATTTACATATATATATTACATCACACTGGCATTAAAAGCACAAGAACATGGTATCATATAATAATCCCCTTGATAAGGCCTATCGGTATATACAGTGTAAAAAAGACAGCACCTTGCTCCTTTCAAAAAGTTTTGCTTTTTAAACTTCAAAATGAATAACGAAGGATCTTGCATACTTGTCAAATATCTCCTGTGATCTAGAACTAGAGTAAATCTGAAACTTATTCTTTTTCAAAAGAATAATCCTAAGATGTCCTGATGTTTGAGAAACATAATCTAAATGAAGAATATCACATCTCCATTTATCTCTTAATTTTGCATAAATAAATTTTACTATGTTTCATATGCCATAATACAATCAATAAATCTATGTTTCATTCTCTCCTTCATGGACAAAGACCACAGAGTAAGAGAGAGAGAGAATAAAAATTCATCCATCCATATAAATTGTCAGTATAAACCCTCTTTCCTTATTCTGAATCTAACTCTACATTTAACAATCCCATACAAAATGCATACCACAAAATCAATGTCTTCTCCATGATGACATCTGAGCAACATCATTTGTATTTTTCATCCTTATTGGTTTCCTCTTTTCAGTAATTTCTCCACCTGGCGCGAAGCACAGCACGTGAACTGTGTAGTGTGAATGAATTATGTAAATATTCCTAGATCTACTGAGAAGTCTTTTTCTCTTACTTCCTCTCTTTTATTTCTTATTATGGCACTAGGCATACTCTCACAAGCACTTATGGAAGAACCACATTGTATAACCCTATATACCTGTAAGCTCTAAATCGTCAATCCCCGCTGGTGACACCCGATTCCGCTTCTACTTGTACCGAGGCCGCCGGAAAATCCACAGGAATATGTTTTTGAACCTTCTCCAGCGCGAGAGGGACCGGCTCCTGCCCTGGTTCTCGCCTCCAGCTGCTTCCTTCTGCTTGCGACGAATCTCCCGCACGAGCATGTGGAATGCATCGTCAACGTATTGCCTCAGAGCAGCCGACGTTTCGAAGAAGGGACAGCCCATGGACTGGGCGAGGGCTTGGCCTTCTTCGGTCGAGACCTGGAACGAATGCATACAAAAATAATCCTTCTATATAATAGATCTTTGTTGATTTCCTCTAAGTGCCCTCTTGACTGTATTCTGAATGGAGAAAGGTTCTGATATTTACGGTATCTTTTCTCAAACGACCAGCAAGTTCTTTTCCCTTCCTTCCAAAATAGCTAAACTCAGTGCCGACCTTACCTTCCTGTGCACCGGATCATCCAAATCGACCTTATTGCCCACCAAGACAATGGGAATGGAGTCTGAGGAGCCACGCACTTTGGCAATCAGCTTCCGGTATCCTGCCACCTCCTCGAAGCTTCGACGGTCAGTCAGCGAGTAACAGATCAAGAAGCCTTCACCACAGCGCATGTACTGATCCCGCATGGCAGTGAATTCAATCTGGAATAAAAACCAAAATAATCAGTCTATTCTGAAGTTCAAACATAAAAGGTTCATTTCTATACTAGAGGTATATCTAAAAAAGACTTTAATAAAGTTGGTTCTCGAACGGTTTTGGATGACATACATCAGTTTCATGTAATGACAGAAGTGGTTCCATCAATTAATGTAAAAAAGGGCAATCAAAGGAGCTGGACAAAATATAATGATAGCAGCACTTAAAAATAAATAATTAATAAATAAAAAAATAAAATAAATAAATAAAATAAAGATTTTTTAAAATATGGTAATCACTGTTATCTTTTCACTACAAATGAGGCACTTGGCACAAGAACACTCTATATACCACACTGAATAAAAAAGAAGCCAAGTTGGCAACAGCCGCTCAGTATGCGTAGGTTTTAACTGCATTATGGTCAAAATTCCTACAGAACCTTTAGCTTTATGTTTCACAGATTGCAAAGAAGCATTTTCTTAATATTAAAAAATGGGACTTTTTCAGTTTTTCTTAGTACTTTTTCACAGTTTTTCTTAGAAATTAGATAATTAACTTCACTTCATATCCAAGAAATATAGTTGAACACTGGAAGTTACAGATAATACAGGTGTCCACATATCCCAAATGCAAATAAATAACTCACAATAAAAGGTGTGTAACTAAGCTTTCAGCATCACATTTTAGTAAAAATTATGACGATTTTTAGAGCGACTCTAGAAGCCTATAACACGCGAACTACCGCCATCGCAGCCATAAATCCACACCCCTATATCGTGCCCAGAACAGACAAGAACCTCCATAGCTGCCATTGTCAGTTGCCATCAAGAGTACCGGCCCTCCCTTGCCATGACACGTAGAGATGCTATCCCTCATCGTGGGGTTAGCTCACTATGTACTACTAGCCTATCTATGCACATTAAGCAAATACATCCTAACCTGGCCAGCCGTGTCCAGTATGTCGAGCAGGGCCGGCTCTCCGTCAATAACAGCTTGTCTCTGATATGCATCTTCTGTGAAAAGAATCAGCAGCATGAAATGTAATGTCTCTCTCTAAAAAAAAAAAAAATCTATGTATTAT